TGTCATTTGTTCCTTTTACCCGATTAACTTCCTCTCGCTCTTGCACGTGCTTCAAACTGAACAATAAGGAGGGGGTTGAACCACCTGTGATTACACGAGACGACACGCACCTGCATTTCTGTGGACAGCATTAATGTACCCGACGCAAGAATTTCTTTTTTTTTTTTTTTGCTGCATTTTAGTAGAAGCTAACAAAAAAGGAAACACGATAAAAAGAGCTGGGTAAGCCGACAGAAAGGACCTTCATGGCTGACAATTTTAGAATAAAAGCTAAGAAGGTTACTTATCTCTTTTTTTTCATTTTCTTCATCTCTTTTAGTTTTAACTAAAAAAAAGAGCCATGGAGCAGTGCGTTTTCTACGTTTTCGCTGGTTAAGATACGACGTCAACCAGTGGCGTACCAAATTGCTTTTGAGTGGGGGGGGGGGGGGGGCAAACCAGCGCCCCCCCCCTCCTTCCAGGGCAGGGGGCCGTCCCCTTGGTATCCTTTGGGCGCCGCCGCCAGTGTTTGCCCTGCCCAGCGGTGGCTGTTTCAGGGGGGGGGGGGGCACATGCCCTGCCCCCCCCCCCCATCCTGAGAACTGGGGGGCAAGCGCCCCCCTTGCCCCCGCCCCCCCCCCCCCCCCCGGGTTGGTACGCCCATGACGTTAGCCTTGAACATGTCCGCTATCTACCTTCTCGCTTTGCATCCCGAACTTCAAGCAAAGCTGAGGAAAGAAGCGGATGAATACTTCACACGACATATCGGTTATAAACAAGTCATTTGTCTTGCGATTAAACTGCAGAAACCGCAAAAAAAGGAATGTTTCAATCTTTACCAAGCAATGAAAAAACTCTATCGATGCTATATGAGCGCAGATCTTATATTGCTAGAATATTTATTCTACGCATCACCTGTCAAGATTACATGTAACAAGATTACTTTCCAGGAACGGATACTAAAGTTGTTAACGGTACTGTATTGAAATTGATTGATAGGGCTTAATGTACAGGTTCGTCTTAATGGGTTTGTTATTCAGGTGATGTACATTTATTTGCGTTAATCCAAGCAGCAACTATGAATCGTTAAAAAAAAACGAAAAAAAAAACTACGAATTGTTCAAATAAGATTAGCAACATTTTACAATCCACTCTAATATCTAAAACTGATTACATTACTGAAAAACGTAATGATGCGATTCCCATTGACGTAAGGCAGACAAACCTTAATATTTGAAACTCAAGAATGTGACAACTCCATTATTAGTTAAGAGCTAATTTTTGTTCGAAATTTGAACAAAATCTATTTGAATTGCAGATTGAACTGACCACAAATACATTTACTAGTTTTGCTTTCGGATTCATTAGCGAGCACATTTCAGGTTTTCTTTTTAATCAAATATACAACGTTTTGAAGATGATTTGGATTAAACCTCACGTAGAAAAATATATACTAAAAAAAAACGGTTTATAAATGAAGTGAATTAACGATTCTGACAAATGGTAGTAATTTTCGCTTGGGCTTGAAAGGTTTGACGTGTTTTCATCATGGTATTTCGTCGTGAACGTCGTTTTACTCGTTTTTAAGAATAATATTACGCTTCGCAAGATCACGGCAAAACGAATATGGAAATTTCTAAGATTTTTCGCCAGATATCAAATTCACGTTCATTATTTTAGATCTTGCATCAATAGCTTCTGTGAGATAGTCGGTATGCAAGAAGGAATACTCAGAACAAAGGTGGCTCGATCAATGTCGTTGTTCATTTGCTCTATTACGTGGAACTCTCAAGCTTTTACCTTCCGTTGCCGCTATTCTGTCAACATGTATTATTTTTCTTTTACAGAGGAATAAACTAATCTTTTATTTCTTAAAATTAGTCAGTAAACTAATTAACATGTTGTCATGACGGGTCCAATGAAGTAAGGTACTTGTTAACACTAGTCTCGTTCATATGTGAGCAAACATTTTAGGTAATATAAATAATACTAAAATCTTCAATGCATGTCACAAAAAAAGACTAATATTTTGCCGGTAAACACATAGCGTTAGGCGAAAACTGTATGCATTTTTGTTTCAAGAAAAGTGAGTAAAATTAGTGTTAGCCTATCAGTGCTTTCTAGTTCGCTATTGCCGAAGGTTGCTAAGAACGTAAGCAATCAAAGCACATGGGTACACGCACGTTCTGCTTCCTGAAAAAATAATATTCCAGGTGGATATTAGTCACACATGCCTTTCCTGAATTTATGCCTCTCTGCGCAGTATAGTAAAAGCCTGCGACCTGCCAGAATACCTGTTGTGTACTGAAGTGTAGCGTGAGAGCGCGGTGCGCGCGGGAGCACGGGTCAACGCACCTGCACGTGCCAACGCGAGTCACGGACACTTCTACGCCGAGCCTTCTCGAACAGGACATGTTTGTACATATCTGAGCTAGTGAAGCGGGGCGCATGGCGCTAAGCCCACCAAGGTGTCCTGTCTCGCTCGGCACTTAACAATGTCATATCTAGAAAGTCGCAAAACTCACTCCAAAGAGCAAGAGGTTGGAGACGACACGCTATATTTACGTCCTGCTGGAACAAAAACACTCGTAGCACTTGTACTGATGTAACCGAAAAATGACAATCAGATATGTTTTGTGGGTACCTAAGGTGCGAATGCGGAAGCTCCAATTGCTTAGTAACGCTAGCCCTATCACAGGTACAACTTCCCGTCATCTTTCACTAAAAGGCACGTTTCTGATTGCATTTTTGGCGGATCCACAGTGAAACAGGAAAGAAATCGTATTCGTACGGGAGGGCTTTAAATGAGTCATATAAGAAAACTGCGCGCAACATATTTTATAACAGTCAGGTTTCTCCCCAAGGAGCAAGGTAGATGGTAACAATCAAAACGTCCTTAGAATGAAATGCCATTAAAAAAATGGCCTTGACTAACCATCCTCGGATGACTGTCACTACTCACGGAGTAAATGAGCGGCCATTCGAGTGAGCCTACTTACAAGAAAGGGAGGGCATTGTCAATAAAGAAAGTTAAAAAAAAATCTACAGGCATTTGCGTTCCGTGGCGCATCTGTAGAGCTGAGCAGCATTGTTACCCAAAGGTTAAATATTTTGTGATGAAATTAGATGTTCGGAACCAGTACAAAGTTCATTTTCTATATCCCCCAAGTCAAGAAACTAACGAAGGTATCTCAGAGGTCGTTGCGATTCTACGTAGTTAAAAGAGTTGGACATCGACCGCTAAGTAATTGTAATAAAATTGTTTCTTCATTGCAATAAAAAAAAAAAACTCGTACGATAAAAAAAAGTACCTTCGAAGTGAGAGTATAACAGATTTTGGAAATACATATGCGTAAATTTAAACCAGTTTGATTCAAGTAACACTGACCTTAACTTAAATACATTTTTCTTGTAACTTTGGCATCCCGGCCTGCTCCTCTACGTCCTGAAATGAACCAAGCATCGGAGAAACTGGATGTTTCCGCTAAATCTAGCGAAGAAACTGAATTTCCCCGCTAAATTTAGCGGTGAATTGAATTAGGGTTGAGGTCACGAAACGTCAATTTACCCGTTAAAAATTAGCACGGTTACGCCTACGTCGACGCTGTCGCTGCGAAACACGGAAACGGGCGCCTAAGAGCTGCGCTCTAAAATGAAAGACGTTTACGAATATCTGTAATGCAAATTTAGAGCGCAGCTCTTGAGGAGAAGGGGAGGCTACGGAGGGGAGGTTATACCCCTCCTTCTCCTCCATATCCTCTCCTCCTCCCCTTCTTCTTCTTCGTAGCCTCCACTCCTACTGCGTACTCTCCCATGCTCCTCCTTCGTACCCTCCCCTCCTCCTCCTCCATACCCACTCCTCCTCCCACAGTTGCCCCACTAAATTTAGCTGGAAAATTGGCGCCACGTGACCTCAACACCAATTCATTTTCCCCGCTAAATTTATCGGGGAAATGACGTCACATTACTTGGTGTAATTTCACCTATGAACAAATTTTGTTTGAACAGGTGTTTAGGTCACGTGACGACAATTTTCCCGCTAAATCTAGCGGAGAAACTGAATTTGTCCGCTAAATCTGTCGGAAAAACTGAATTTACCCGCGGCATTCAATTTGTGCTGAGATCACGTGACGTTAATTTTCCCGATAAATTTAGCACGGTTACGCCGACGTCGCGAAATCCGGTAACGGGCGCCTAACAGCTGAGCTCTAAAACAAAAATGTTCGTTGCGCCGGAAAGAACTGAAAACACTGCTCTGTTACATTATTAGAGAAATCTTCTCTATTGTTGCTCGCAACCGACCAACACCCGTTACGGTGCCAGGTGTCCGAATTGAATCTTCTGTTTTACAATATAACATGCGACATGGCCGCCATTTCATTTTTTTCTTACACATAGATCGTACAATTGTTTTATTCAATTACCAGCTCAATGTCCAACGCAGTGTCCATCAGACAGTCTGTTTCTTTATCAACCGGAGAATGGTCGCAGTATTTTGTGAGCATATTTCTTCTCCTCGTCCCTCGTGTATGCGCTGTTGTTGCTTACGGGACATGAACCGACATGCACAACCTCATTACCACACCAACAGGCGGATTGCTCACGAGTCCGCAGGCCGCCCCCGATAGACGTAATGCCCAGCGTGTGCGCAGATAAACACATCTTGCGCAATATTGCGACATCGCTCAATAGCCTGTCCACTTTCGTCGGGGCCGAGGGTGAATCATACGTCGCCGCCGCGCAGACGCATTCAGCCCTAAGCTGACAGTGCGCTGGAACCTACGCGCTCGTTGAACCACTCACGCCTCTATCGCTTCCCCCCGTGATCCTGTTCTTGCCCTTATTTAAGCGCAGAGAGAGGAGCAGGTGACGAAAAATCTTCGGTTGATTGGTCCGGCGAGCCCGTAGCTTCCACCGTACTGTCAGCTTATGGGTGAACGGAGTTTACGTTTTCCTCCTTTCCCGCGCTACCCTTCGCTGCCACCACGTAGCCCTCGCCCATCACAAGTAAATAATGCCACCGGCAGCTCTCCCGCGCATCCACGCTTGACTTAGAAGGCTAGTGGCGTAGTTCTTTGCGGACTGCGCCTGCGGTTTCGCCTGCTGCGTTCATTTTTGGGCTCTTTACTCTTGCCAAGCTCGGTTCTCTTTGCGACGTAAGCGCGAATTAATATTAAGGAAGAGCGCAGGGGAAACCTTATTTCTACTTGCAGAAGCTTGTTCCTCATGATTGTTTCTCTTTCGCGCTAGCTCAACGAGGCGTCGTCGGGTGCAAGATGAACTTCCTGGGCGTTCCGGATTGGGTCATCTTGGTGGTGACGGCACTGGTTCTGTTGTACCTGTAAGTGAGATTTCACTTTCCTTTTTTGCTGGAAAGTCCACAACGTACATTTTCAAGCTAAGGTCCCTCCGCGGGGATCGTCAAAATGCGAAAGCTTGACTTTTTACATTTTGTGTTGAGGTGTTAGAAACATCAAATATCGTTTTTTTATCTAATAAATTCAATGACGGAAAGCATGATAGCAAAGCTGCCTGTGGTGTCTATCATAATGCATAATGAAATCATAACCTGGTTTCTCTCCACTGAATTCTGAACCATTTTAAGCTGGTGATAGGACATTTTGCTACAAGAGTCTCAACCAAACATTAAGATGTCTCCCGAGGGCTAGGGTTATCATTTTTGCGCGTGCCTACAAGGAGGGTACGCATAACGTGAAAGAATGTGATAAGCCAAATTATATGTAGTAACACTTTCCGGGTTTGGTATGTTCTGGGACATAAAATAAAAATTACAGGGTGCCAGTTCGCCGAGATAGTAAAGTGTCCATTGCTGCACTCAGAGTATATCAGGCACTGTATGATTCGTTCTGGCGTTAGTTGACTGACACGGTTAGGCACTCGAGGCGAACACCGCCGTGAACGTAAGGAATAAAAATACTTTTTCGGGAAACAATCATGAATTGTTGTTGTTCGTTTTCTTTTTTTTTTTTTGCATTGAGAGAGTTTAATTAATGGGTATTGGAGAGGCTATGAGGGATGCAAAAATTCCAGAAAGAACAAATGCATTATTGGAGGATAAATGTTAGACATTGCTAGGGTGACGTTCCATAGTTCCATGGTGAGGTGTCCCAAGCCGTACGCGTGAGTTCATGTGATTTGTAAACATATTTTCTTGTGAGGCCATTGTGCGCCATCATGTTTCCTGCTAGTGTCTATATACTACATATATCGCCCGACCTTTAAGCCTTGACAACAGAGCTCCACCGTTGAGTAGCAAATAAAGTTTTATCTCTATTCCTGGAGCCCTGATAAGGAATTCCGGTAGTGGGCAACCAAGCTTTTTTTCTTTCTCTTTTTCAGCGGGAGCATACAAGAGTAGAGACAATACAGTTACACTATTATTAGATGTTTTTGTCTTGACTGCGAAAAGCTCCAAGATAAATGCGAACACGACAGTGGACACTATTGAATTGCACGCTTAATGAACTGAGCAAATTTGCAAACAGAAAAAAATGAAAGACGTTCACAACTCCCTGTAACACCAAATTGGAGCGTAGCTCTTGAGGAGGAGGAAGGGAGGATACGGAGGGGAGAGTAGGGCCCTCCTCCTCTCCTGCTCCCCTCCCATTTAGCGGGAAATTTTCGCTACATTTCCCGCTAAATTTAGCGAAAGAAAATCCTTGCTAAATTTAGCAGAAAACTTTTTGCGCTAAATTTAGCGGGGAAACTTTCCGCTACATTTAGCGGGCTTTTTTCCCGCTAAGGTAAGCGGGGAAATTTTTCCGCTAAATTTAGCGAGAAATTTTTTCGCTATATTTAGCAGGCATTTTTTTTGTTAAAGTTAGCGGGGACATTTTTTCGCTAAATTTAGAAGGGAACGTTTTTCGCTAAATTTTTGCGGGGAATTTTTCCGCTAAATTTAGCGGGGAAGTGCTTCCACTGAATTTAGTGGAGAACTTTTTTCTGATAAATTTTGCGGAAAAGTTCCCTCCTCCTCCTTCCTGACCCTCTTGACGTCACTCGTGACGTCACATGCATACCTCGGCAAACCTCACTCATGAGGGCCCTCACTCACCCTCACTCACCCTCATCTTCACAGGTGAGGTGAGGGTGAGTGAGTTTCTGAACCAGGAAAATTCATGAGTGTGAGGGTGAGTGAGGGCTGTGAGGGCCGTGAGTGCGTGAGGGGCGTGAGGGCTATGAGTGCGTGAGTGGTGTGAGGGCGGTGAGTGCGTGAGGGGTGTGAGGGCCATGAGTGCGTGAGGGCAGTGAGTGGCATGAGAGGCGTGAGGGCCGTGAGGGCGATAAGTGCATGAGGTGGTGTGAGGGCCATGACTGCGTGAGGGCGGTGAGTGCGTGAGGCCCCCTTTAGATCGAGCATCTTTCTCAGCAATTTTGGTGTTAATGGCGGGTTGTTCTCTAGCTTTCCTTAGATCGACACGAATTGCTGAGATCGGGTCCGGCTCGAAATAAGCAAGCAACTCGGAGCAATTCGAATACGTTTGAGGCGGCTGCATCCAATCAGGGACGCAAAATTTTCTCGTGATACCTCGTGCCGGTGATGATGACACCGAAAGACTTGGTTCTGGTTTGAAATCGATCGTTTTTTTTGGAAATAAACTGTTTCAGAAAGGTGCATTAGTATTCTTAACGAGGTTTAAATGCATAAAAACACGTTTAAAACGCGTAATTGTGTCTAAATAGTGCAAGAAAAATAAAACCCATGTTGCTGGTGTTGCGACGTCAAGTTTCTGGGCGAAATTGCCCCATCTGAAGCTGGCCTGAGTGGCGTGAGGGCCATGAGTGCGTGAGGGGCGTGAGGGGTGTGGGGCGGTGAGGGGCGTGAGTGGCGTGAGGGAGGTGAGTGGCGTGAGGGCGGTGAGTGGCGTGAGGGCGGTGAGTGGCAAGAGGGCGGTGAGTGGCGTGAGGGCGGTGAGGGCCGTGAGGGCGGTGAGGGCGGTGAGTGGCGTGAGGGCTATGAGTGCGTGAGGGCGGTGAGTGGCGTGAGGGCCATGAGTGAGTGAGGGGCGTGAGGGCGGTGAGTGCGTGAGGGCCGTGAGGTTCAGTGAGGGTGAGTGAAGGGCTGAAGGTGAGTGTGACTGTGAGGGTGAGGGTGACTGAGGGGCTGAAGGTGGAGTGTAGCTGTGAGGGTGAGTGAGGGGCTTAGGTGAGTGTGGCCGTGAGGGTGAGGGTGAGTGAGGGCGACCTAAAATGCCGACCTCTGGTCACATGTGACGTCATTAGAGGAAACTTCTCATAATGCAACGCGCGCTGACGCCGACGCCACTCAGGCCGGACACGAGCGCCTAGAGGTGCGTGCGCTCTAAAACTTGGTTTGAATCGGTCACCCTAATATCAGTAGCCGGCGAGTTCTTATTAGCTGCACAAAATGAGGCAATATGGGAATTTGCATTGAAATAAATATGTAAATGCTCACATACTCCTTACACAAATGCCCAGGAACTTGAGAATGTATCATATTTGGTCATATTTTGTTATGTTTGTTTTTTATCCTATCGGCATGACTTAACGTGTTCCTCATGGTGTGCTTGAGTTTTTATACACTGAATGGTTGAGAGGAATTTAATTAATATTTCTTTGCCTGCCGTTAAATTAATAAATTTAAAAAGTCACGTTTTATTGAGAAAAGGTATCTTTGAATAGGACTAGATTACAATCAACCTTTAAAAATTCAAAATTTAAAATTTCTTTCTGAAGGTTATTGCTTTTGGCCGTCACACAATCATCCCACGATATGATAGCAAACCTTGCTTCTCTGCCAGCACTATTATAAAACTAGCAATGAAATAAATTGAATTGATCTTTATTTTTCTGGTAGCAACCGAACATAGACAATCAAAGAAATACTCATGCAATAAAGTTATCATTATAGTCATGGCTGCTGTTTGGCAGGATGTATATTTGTCGTGATTCGTATCTTTCACACATATGATACATTTTGATTTGCTCTTTGGACTCTTTCAGGTATGCAGCCAGATACAGAAATTACTGGAAAGAGCAGAATGTTGTCCACGAAAACTTCTCTCTTATATTTGCAGCGGGTAAACGAATGTTGTTCAAGGTGAGCATTGTTTCCTTGATATTCCAATTGTAAAGAGATATTCGGAATGCAACTGTTGTAAGTTTCTAATCAATATGTCCTCGCGTCTGAACGAAAGAATTTTTGATCTGTAATAAGAGGGATTTATAACTGAAATATTGTGTGCACTTCTCAAGAGTGGGTACTGGTATATTTTGAAACAAATATCAGATCATATTAGGAGCCGTGAGCCTTTAAGTGGGCGAGTTCAAGAATTATTTAGAGGGTTAAGGGTGTATTTTTATTTCTTAGGTTCGAATAATAAGCGAACCGTTGTAATAGCATCACTCTTGAAAGAAATTGTATGCACGTTTACCCATCAATATTTTATATTAACATACAAAACTAACACACCTGCAATTTCAAGAATAAAGAACGCAAAGGTCAGTGTGAGGTTTATAGTCATGTTTATCTGCTCTCCCTGTCAGGCGGTGCATAATGGTTGTTGGTTCTCCCATCTTCATAATAATTTTCAAATTGGGGGAATTATTATGAAATAGATCGGGCACACAGCGTCATTAATAGATGTCTATAGTACGTCTATAAGAAAAGGAAGAGCGTCTTGGAATACTTAAAATGGTAAAGTCCGCTATAGTTAATTTTGAAATTGTTATTCATATGACTCTTGTGTGTTATTATGATATACGGGACGCATGGGTGGATGTGGTTGTTCCATTAGAAATTACACGGATAAATCACTATTCACTGCACGTCGAACTTATATTCTTTTATCTTCGAAATGCGTTTAAAGTCCCCATATATCGCAATATTTACAATCTCGAAAAAGCATCGCGTATTTGATAATTTGATGCGAATGTCAAACTGCACGTGGACTCTATTTTTGTATGTGAATTCGCTACATTATAATTATGCCGTATACCTTCTGGTGTTTATGCCTAAAATCGGCGGATGTTTTTCGGTGCTGATTTATTTCCAAAATACCGGTGCATTTCGGTGAATTTTCTCGTGCAGACGCTTAAAACGGCTTTTATCGACGTAAAAAACGCGAATGGCGAACAATTAAGACGAGCAACGGTTCAACATTTATTTAATCTATAAATTATGTTTCGTTACTGTAATCTATGATGACGTGACCAATCGGATAGTGTCAAAAGTGCACCATCATAGTGTTTGGTAAGTTTATGTACGTGTTTTATCATATCAATCATAAACAAAAAAGGCACAGTGACTTGCACTTTTGGCGCTGCTTGATTGGTCCCATTTCCTCCTTGCGTCAGCTGCGTCTGGATCATCTCTTATACCGTGGTCTGGACTTAAAGGGACACTAAGGAGGTCTCTGCGATCTTCTGTTCTTGGTCGTAACAGATTCTATGCGCCATAACGCATCCTAAAAATCCAAAAATTACATTCACGCCACGCCCTTTTCTGAGCGGATTTTTTCCCTCGGGGAAGGTGGGGAAAGATCCGCTCAGAAAAGGGCATGTCCAGACGTTTCATCCGTTTTAAAAAAAAAATCGCCGTCACGTGATTGTATTTTTTTTTATTTTTTAGGATGCTCCGTTTCAAACATCGCGTGCAACGCTGGGAAAGCTACTGAAGTAGTGCGCATGAAAAAACACACAAAATTGTGTTACTCCGCGAGATTTCGTGGACGAGCGGTACAAGGCGCTGCTCCGGCGATGCCGGCGATGCCGACATCTCGGTGGCGGTGGTTCGAATCCACTTAAGGCGCAAAGGTTGTTTTTTTTTTTTTTTCCTCGACCGATTTTTTGTGCAAGATTGTGCGTATTGCGGAAGTGCATATTTCAATTCCTCTTTTCTTGTTGATTTTTATTTATAAGAAGGTAGACTAGGGGCTGGTGTTCCGCTCGAACTTGCGCCGGCCTCGTCAAAACGGAAGAACGGTCGAGATCCAGGGCGTCTCTATTTAAAGCCCTTTATTTACATGGTAGCGTGAAAATCAGAGAGTACCTTGAGAGTGTGGTGGACGGTCCTTTATATAACGAATATTGTGATTAGGGGACCGCACTGCCATTGTTCAGACGGCTTGGCATTCCCTCACGTGATGTGACTTCATGGAAGTTTCCTTCAGAGTCAGAATACTCGCCGGTGTATGAAAGAAGTCATCCAGACGGCAGTATCTCGGTGCTCTGGTGCCGGCGCCCACATGAACCGGGAGTGATTCACAATTGACGCGTACACAACACACGGCACTCGAGATCAGGATCGAGTGTTGTTTCCTTTTCGAGGAAAGCAGGGGCCTCGGAATACAGGCACGGGCATGTGCGTCGTTTACTTAGCCGACCAAGGTTAAGGTGCCTCAGGCAGACGGAGCCGACCAAGGTTACGGTCCCGCAGGCAGAAGAACCCAGACGCTTCGGAATGCAATCACGGGCACCGCCTGCTGTAAGGGCCCGCAAGCAGACGGAGCCGTAGGCACGATTCATCACCGACACAGTTCCTTCTTGAGGCTTGTTTCACTTTGAAGCCATAAGGCCGATTTCAACACCAGACATAACAGGTGGCAGTTCACAACACTGTCCGCGTGCTCGGAACTTTCACGTTGCGAGGTCTTCGCTTCGGGGACGCCACCTTGCCAGACATTCCGGTGTCGTTACTGACCGTCTCCAGGACCTCACGGACCGACGTCTCCGGGAAACACGTTCTTGAACTCGCGTACACGTTGGCGATCACCTGCTTGCACTTTTGCGAGATCTTCACACAACAAATCTTCGAAAATATCCGAGCAGGAAAAGAAAGCTTCCCGCGTAAGACGCCATCTTCACGAAACCGGCGAGGCAGGGGCAGCCGCACAACCCGAAAACCCGAAGCGAGTGCGAGTGCCGCACGAACGAAAACGGAAAATAATTTGGAGTAGTTTACATTATATTTTCCTTTTTATTGAAAAAGAATTGGTGTTCCCTCGAAATCATAACGCCACTATTAGTTACTAGCTCCAAAGATGTACACTTTTCGACCTTTTTTTTTTTTTTTTTCAGGGGCCGCACTATTTTGTGGAGCGAACGTAGTCGCAGTCGGCTGTGCGAACCGGCGCGCTAGCTTTGACTACATTGCACGCTATGTTTGAAACGGAGTATAGGGCCAGTAGAATCTGTTATGTCCAAGAACGGATGATCACAGATTCCTTTTAAGGCCCGGCTTGCTAGAAGCAGCGCCTCGAATAAGACTGCCTTATTTTAGACGAAGAAAGCACTGCCAAGCCTGGGGCGCGCCAGCGTTTGAGACTCGACTTCACGTGCCGCTCCACTCGTGCGTTAGCTTTGGCAGTGCATTCTTTGTCTCAGATAAGAGAGTCTTATTTGAGACGCTGGTTCTAGCCAGCCGGCCCTGTGCCCCTTAAGAGGCTCGGCGGACGTTAGATGGGGGAATAATCATCATGGTAAAGTGGCTAATTAACTAACGTATTTTAATTAACTCTTTTTTAATTATCGGCGTTAGTTGCCCCCTTGCAATAGCGGTATTGACGGCAATAACTAAGAGGCCATTCCAATTGAAAGAAATTGGGAAACGGCAATCACTTATTAGACATTAATTGATTAATTTTCCCGTTTTTTACCCTATTTAAAAAGTTCACACAAAAAGAGCTCCCCAAGCAGTGCCCACAACGACGCTTAGAAGAGTAACATAGTCGTTTCTGTCACGTTGTCACTTGTCTGGTCGGCGCACTCACCAAGGTCGCTGCCGAGATAGTAACGGCAGGATTAAAACGACTACATGACTTCTCCCAGCGCCATTCTGGGCAGAAATTGCGGCGCTCTTTTTGTATTAATTTTTTTTAAATCGATAGCTTCACGGGCAACACTTTGCAGAGATTTCAACCCCGTGGGCTGTCGTCGCCGCGCGCGCGAAGGGAAAAACTGTTTTAATGCGGAAGCATTAACTGTCCCATGGAGCAAGCTGACGTCATCAGTTTGAAGCTCGAAAACGGCACCTACTTTCCGCGATTTCGCCTTCGGTTCCATTGGCTGGCGCGCGTCGACGGGGCTCCCATTGGCCGCTGCGCTCGTCAGTTTCCACGACCGCTCACTCCATGGCGCTGCGTGTCCATCAGAGCGCCGTTAACACGGAGCGTCCAAGGTCACCAGGGGAGCACGCGCGCTGACCGGCGACAAAAAGTACGCAGCAGACGAAAAAGGGAGCGGACGAGCGGCTTGCATGCTTTCGCATTCACAATTCATAAGAAGTTCTTAGGTGTACCTCGAACTTATGTTTTTTCCCCTCTTGTTGCGAGGAGAGGGAGCAGCCCTCCCGTCCCGCCCACAATGGCGCGACGAAGGGAGAATCTTCGTGTCGTCTGCTTGAAAGACTTGTTTTCAAACATTACTCGCGTTATCCGAAATCCCACTTTGGCAGTACCCAGTTGCTACGGGTAATGTTGGATGATTTTAGAAACTTCCAGTGCGCTTACCCACTTCACGGATCACCAAGCACTGGTGGCGGTCGTCAGTGGCATAAACGACGTCAGGCACGACTGCTATGACAAAGAACCACGTCGCACCTTTGTGCTCAGTTACGTTACAACACCATTCCCACGGCATTGCGCGACCGTGCTGCAGATCTCCCTTGCGTTTTTTCGTACATTGTGGGCAAAAAATACAACTTTTATTCGGGTTGGCAAAAATATTTGAACTCATCAATTAATATGTAAAGAAACTATAACATTTTAGCAATTTTTCTTATTAGTGTGGCTCTGATAGTAATTGCCGTCAGTACTACAATGACAACATTACCACTAAAACTAAATATTAAGTTAATTAACAAATTTTAGTTCATTATACCTACTCACCACGACGATTATTCCATCATCTAATGTCCACCGAGGCTGATAAATACACGGTGAAGATGAAACTGGTCTAACTCTCACATCCCCTTCTTAAATAAAATATATTCGAAGTAAAATCAGACACCCTGTTTGAACCGGCACGATAAGTATTTCCACTTGAATGGTGCTCTTGCAGTAAAAATGCAACACAATATAAAGCGCGAGGTACATCTTTCTATACAGGCCGGAGCACAGTTCTCACATTATTTGCAGTTAATCGTCTTTGCTTTTATTTCAGCCATTTCATCGGATGGACCAGGATAGGTACCTTCAATTTGGAAAATTATTTGGGTGAGTTTCCTCAAATCTTTGACTATTTTCTGTAGCTAAGCTTTAAAAATACTTTCCATTCTTCTTTTCTTCTTTTATTTTTTTTATTACTTACATGCAGTGTCTATGAAGGTGGGAAACCGATGCTTTTCGTTGGCGATCCCGAACTTGTGAAACTCGTTCTCGTCAAAGATTTCCCTTCCTTGCCAAATAGAAGGGTGAGTCCATACTTCATGTTTGAGCTGTAAGTACATGCATTTAAGTCCACTCAACAAGAGCTCAATAAATATGAGTCGCCACATACGGAGTAGACATCGTGTAGTCAAGGAGTATACATTATGGATAGTACTGGAAACTTCGTTCTCCTTAGCCACTTAAACACAAACTACGTATGAAAAACTGAACAAAGATTGATTAGAAGAATCACTTTGTAAGTTTGCTTTTTAAAGCAACAGTTTTTTAGTTTTGGGCATAACGCCTCGCTTGTATCAAGAGAAGTTTAAAAAAGTGGCTCACTACTACAAATTCTATGTATTCTCGTTGTAATATCTGCACAGTTGCATTCGACCTTTCTAGCATCATTAAATGGTGCAGCACATGCTTTACTAAGTTGCAGATCACGCTAATACACAGGTGTTCTTACTGAGCTTATTTTTATTTTTCACTGGTCATAAATTGTTTGTTACTTTTGTCATTTGTGTCGCCCCCAGAAAAAAAAAAATGTGACATTCAATTCCTGAGAGCCAGACAGCTAACAAGGACACATTCTTCAACTATACATGCAGGGTGGCTTAAGTAGGATTGATATATTTTTTTAAGACACGTTCAATTAAGGAATAATACTTCAGTGAAACTGTTATAAAGCCGGGTGGACGTCAAGGTACGAGCCTGAGGTGGCATTTGGTGAACTCATTTTAGGGCTGGACAGAGATACTTCCAAGAGTATTGGAAAATACAAATAATGAGATACATAATTTAGTGATAAAAAACAAATACTGAGAAACATTTATCTGCTGTGTAACAAAATATCCCTATGACACTTTCCTGAAAAAGGCAAGAAAGTGTCTCGGAATACAGATACAAATCCATACAAAAAATATAATTTTCCCAAATGGTGGCGGGTGCGGAGGATGCGAAGCCTATGCAAATGGTAGTGCTTATGTTCCTATTTTTCTGCCAAATGACGCACCTTCCTTTGCCACGAACTCTTCATCTAATCACAACCGCCATCCTGACTCTCACTTAAAGAAACATTGGTCGAGCCCCCGGTGACCCACGTAGGTACCGGAGGCAAAGTCTGCATGTCACTCTTGACAAAAGGCGTCTGTCAGAAATAACGCTGTTTTGCCTTGATGGTGCATCGTCTGAAGTGCTCCGAGCCACCCAAGGTATAGAGAGGTTAGACAATACAGCTCGAACGCGTTTTGACGTCCTCGCGCTTTCTCTCGTCTCTGTCCCTCTGTTTCTTGCCACATAGAGCCGAACCTGTCTGCATTAAAGGGATTGTCCGGTCGAAATCGGAAGTACTTAAGTTCTTGCGCTCGTTACGTCGAGGGAGCCTTCATATAGACAAACGTTATTTTTATTTTGATATATGATCTCCCGTTATTAATTAAACCTTTCATGATCCGATGTACGAAACTGCACCCCGAAATTCGCCAGTGTCAATGGCTGACATCCGTAGGTGCTGCGTGACGTCACAAAACGCAAAGGTTTGTCGGATGGTCGGGATAACAAGCGTTGGTCGATGGATGTCTTGTATTTTGTTTCGAATTATATAGTCTCCTAGGCAGCACCCTACTGAAATACGGTTCTTTTAATGCAGTTCCCAAGCACGTGCAAAAAAGTCACGCCTTTTAGCAGGATATTACTCGCAGACAGCCATAAGCTTCGAGCATACGTATGCCGTTTCGCGCAAACACAACTGCGACAGACGCCGATCGAACTAGGGGCGCTTGCAAAGCAAAGGGTGCAGATTTCGCCTCTGAAGCGGCACTTAGGTACACGAAGCGGCATCTGGGTACACATTTCGGCGGATCCACTGGATCCGTGATGAGGCTGCGGGTCATTCCCTCAGAGGCGACGTCCGCGGGTCGAAGGCAAACGGCGAACCGTTCAAATGCATGTCGGACTCGTCACTTGACTTGGACGAGCTTGGTGAATCGTATCTACGCTCCATTTTCACACGCGGGTCAAACAGGTATCGGGCTGCACGCGTGCTAAATACAACTTCTGGTATCATTTCGAGATGGCCAAGCTGTCGGTTTCGGTTTCGCTGCATAATCAAGGTCTGTTCGATTCGGCCAGGAAGTTCTGAACTATAGTCGGTTACAAGTCAAGAAAGTAGCGGCAAATGCCCCTTAAAGGGAATGTTTGCATTTCGACGATAGGTTCGCGGCATCAGGATGATTTTGCGTCGGGAGTCACTGGCGGCAGCGCGCGGTCGGTATACCGGTCACCTCGAAGACGAAGGCCTGACGATAGCGTCTTGGCCAAGACAGTTATCGACCATAACTTTGGCGTCAAGTTGAAGCGAGAATCGGCAAAAAAAAAATGCCGATTCTCGGTGTTTTTCTCAGGCCCGTTAGTGGGGGTCCACAGATACCAGCGGACAAAGCATGCAGTATTATGCTCAGCTACGGGGACATGCGAGTGCCAACGCACTAAATCCCAGACCTCTAATGTATCGGAGTCGTCAATATGCATCCAAGAGCAACTGAAGGCGGAGACTATCAAGAGGGCAATACCTTTCCCGTGTCTGTAAGTAAGAATATCAACACTGTGGATCCCCACATAGCATCAAAAAGAAACAATATACGTGAGCCAATATTTCAACACTCACCACAGGGAGCCAAACGCTTTTAGAATATCATAATCAAGCAAATTCCCACCCTTGGTTAGGATCTCAATTCCGCGTCCACCGCGGGTACGTTATTATCATGAGAGGAAATGCAACCTCCGTATCAGCGTTATTGTTAAACATCGCAGACATTAGAGCAAGCGCTGCGAAAAATGGCACCGCGAGCAGAGACGAACGAGGAGTTCTGCTATCGCCGTCTGCTCTTGTCGTCTGCTTCTGCACGGACGCTGAACAGAGTCCGGAGCCGGTGCAAGATTTTGAGGAACTGGGTCTGAACTCGTTCAGAACTGGGATGAATCGAACGCGCCAGTGCAGCGGTCGTGCAACTTACAATTGAATCGAATATACCAGTTCCTGCACTGCCGAACTAGTTCAGCCAGTTCAGGCGAATCGAACAGACCTAAATTGATTGATCCGATTTGGGCGAGGAGTGGGTGGACGTAGTTTAATATCGTTGGCACAGCACCACACCTCAGCTTACAAGCCTTCTGTCCGCTGAGAGCTCACCTCGTAGCTTTTTTCTGTGAGATGATTGCTGCATAAACAGGATCTCGATCTGGACGGGAACCCAGTCCCTACGCACGACGACGATTCACTTTGCTCGTCACTGCACGTCTCGCGGAAAAGTGTGGAACGTCATGTCTTGGCTCGCATGTGCTACCCGGTGGTTGTGGCACCCAACCGCGCAACAAAAATCTCACCCAACCACGAAACAAGTCGAGCACAACAACAAAAACGAAGCACGCTGAAGCGTTCACTCGCAGGCAAACAACGAGACAAAAATACTCGCTTTGTGTTTTGTGACGTCAGAGCTTCAATGTTCCCAACGAAAGCAGCGTTTACGCTAGAATGAGATATGAGCAGTATAAATTCAATTACTCGCGCAGAGGGGCATATAAAATTTGGATATTGCACGTACGATGCTTCTCGAGGCAATAACAATGATATTCAATTGTTTTCTCGAATACAAAATTTGACCGGACAATCCCTTTAAAGGCTGCACGGTACGTGTTACAACATAAGAGAATTTCTACCGTCTATGATTGATGGTTTCTTGCTCTTCACTCTTCTCCTTTCTAGCGATCGTCCTGCTAAAGTGTAAAGAATGAAACGATTTGTGCGAAAAACTTATCTGCAATTGTTGCTACTAACCTTTCTTCAAATCACTTTTTTCTTGTAGAAAGTTATGCGGCGGGTTCCCACAAAATTAGATTTCCAGTTCATCGTAAAAGCCAGTGACAGTTAATTTTCGACAACAGATTTCAGTAGAGACTATAAATAAGCTTGGCCAAGTATTGTGATACAGCTGATACATCGTTAATGTATTTGACTACTGAGATACAAATACATTTTTCGACCGCATCTCAATAATAAGCTAAAGATATTCGGAAGTATGTCTATAGGATACTAATGCGGTGCATTTGCGTCATGATACTTCCCAGCTCCGCGATTCTTTGCTAATATCTATTTATTTTTTTAAAGATTTGTTTTACGTGTCACATTCTAGTTACAGATTCGTTGTGCGGCAAAAATATTCTAAATAAGTGGTTAAGTGGGCAATTAAATTCAGGTGCCCGCTATTTTCTGCCCAAACTCAGCCGTGAGGAGACTGAGACACAGAAACTAAGATGAGAGGAGTGAAATAGTGATATTGACCTCCACCGTCCAACTACACACCTCGCTAGAAAACGCTCTTTTTTTTCAATTTTAGGAATTGTTACGGCGTATTTTAAGAGCCTGAAACAAATTTCTAATTGAAAAATGCCGGTTAAATCGCACGTAACAAAGTGAACTGGTAGATTTTAAATGCTTATTTCACGAATTATTACGTTACACATCTACCCTGACTTCTGTAGCTGTCGATAACCTTCTGCCGAGCAAATCACTTATTCCTTTGACGTCTTTCCTTAAAGAAATCAACACCCGTCGCGCGCAGAGCACCCTACAGATAAGTCCACAAAGTTACCCTGCCAATCGCATTACGAAAACATTTTGAAGCAAGCACAGGAATAATAGACGCTTAGCAGGTATGAATAGACTTTGAGCATGTATTAGACTCTGCGCACTGATTGGACAGGAGTGTGACGTCAGCGTTCGGCGAGGACTCGGATTCAATCTCGCGCTTCCTGCCCAAGAAATGGCAACCATCAGTGTTGCTTGATGGAGTTCTGAAAAGGGCATATTCTTTCTGGCGAAGCCACTATCATATTGGGCCTTCGAATCAAGAACACTTGTATAGTTTACAACCGCGAAATATAAAAATAATGTTTTGTGCAGTTAATCGTGCAGGGTAGTGCATGTACGAGCCTGTAGGGTTACCTTGCTACATAAATAGATTTTAGGGCGCTTGACTCGCAAACCGATACTACCTTTCGCTTCATGTGCAGTCGAGTCTAAAGTTACAATTGTAAGACGGTTTCATTGAATAACGCTTGCACTGCACAAACCTGGACGCTCTCGGAAACACTTGAAGTGTATCTTTTAATGTTGTGCAGCCTTTATATGTTAAATGAAGGGGTATAAGTGGAATTCTTGTACGCAGATGATCAATTTCTTCGATCCCCTTTTGGATAACATGATGAGCATGGTTCCTGCTGAGAAATGGAGAAGGATCCGCCCAGCAGCAAGCCCAGCGTTTTCCACGGGAAAGCTTCGCAAGGTTTGTGCGGTTACACAATATTCACTATGTTCGATCCCGAGGCTTTTCTGTAAGACGAGCCGGAGAAATCGGCGCCTATATATGGATTCAGCTGAACCGTTCGCCAGAGGTCTGTTTTAGTTAAGATTTCTGCCTTGTGCATTTTCGAGGCTTCGCTCGCTTTATTTCAAAATTTGAAATAATATTCTTAAATATTTTAACGACGAATGCTGGACGTCATGAACGTCAGGCTTGTATATCTTATGAAGAAGTAGCTAGCATGTCACAATTGGAATATGACATTGCGGTGGTGGTCAAATTTCTTAAAGATAATCTTAGTTGAACCTAAATTAATTTAAATTTAATCCTGCATGGTGGAAGTAAAGAAATGTTCAACTAAAAATATAAAAACACGAATATGCAAACCTGCGGCAGCACGTCACTCACTTCTGTCGTCTGCTTTGTAAGACACGCTGGGTCATCTCTGAATAGAAACACCGCAGTTGACTCTGCCTGACTTGGTCGTATCCTAGAATGCTAGTCTTTTACAAGGGCCAGGTGTTATGTTTGGAAATGCTTCGTCACAGGCTACCATCTTTAAATTGTAAGGTCACATATTTTGTATTTGGCGAGATTCGAAAATTTTCAAATTTCATAAACCCATGCAAAAGCTTTCTTCTTTTTTTTCAAAATCTTCTAACTTTTTTTAGGTTGTCATGACAGCAAGGACTTGGTTCTATGTCGAACGCATTAACATTATTACGAAGCGCCCAGCAGGAGTGTCTGCTAAATTACTACAAAACGTTAGATGACTAGACGGTGTTAGAAGAAAAAATTAACACACCTCAAAGGTGTTTCAAGAATGACTGCCGGAATGAACATACGGGCTCCAGTGCAGGGAGCATCACAGAAGAGTATATCTACGTGGGAAGAACGAGCGGGGAGGGTCGAGGAAAGAATTAGAAACTAGTCTGTCCACAGGTTTGAATGAGCCATTTTTAAGACAAGCAATTTACCTTGACGTTAGCGTGTCCGACAAGACACGTACGGAAAGGTAAAGTTCCGGATTTACCTATTTTGTAACGATGCAGTAATTTGTGGAATGTATTATTTTTATTTCTTTTTGTATGTTGTGTTGGTCGTGCGCTTTTAATTTCTTGATGTGCTTCAGTGATGTATTGGCGGTGTATGTATGTGCATGTGTCGCATAATTTGCAATGCGAGCGACTAATCTTTTCTCCTATTGACATACACTACAGCATAATATTAATTATAAACATTACTTTGACCTGTCCGCAAACAGCTCAAGGCCTTCTCTGTAGTAAACAAGAAATATAACACAACTAACAACGATAAAAAAAATTAAATTGTACAAGTTGCATAGTATCGATATTACAGTGAAATGTTGTGCAGCAAAAATATTTTAAGGTGGGGACAATCACATTTGTTAAAGTCAAGTTGCATTCACAATAGGGGATATTGTAAAAAGCATTGTGTGGCAATTCGTGGTTTTCTTAGTACCTGTAAGGGCCGTTAGTGTGAAGCCGAGATGATTTTCCTTTATTCTTATTGAATGCATAAGCAATTTCAATGGTTATATTGCTGGCACCCTCTCTGAACGATGGCCAAAGCATATTTTGCGGGTCAATGAGACCGTGCTCTAACCCTCTCTGAAGCCAAACGACTACGCCAAGAAAGTGCAATTGAAGCTAGTGAATCCGGAGTAATATTAATGTGCAGTGTGAAGTCGCTATCATAATTATATTTGTAATAAATTGTCTAAGAAAACGTTAGATATTATTCTATAACGTTGATATTGTTCACTGACAGCCGGTAGGTAAAATCAGATAAAATAAACACAATCTCGAAAAAAATGAATGACCTTTTGTTGGGCGTCAAGTCAAAGAACCGTCAAACAACACTTTGGCCCAGTGTTTACTACTTTTGTAGCCTCCTCACTGTGAATAATTTCCAAGTAAAAGACTGTGATTTTAAGTACGTGCATAATCCTGTAGAAGAACGAGTAGCATGTACTCATCAAAAATAAGTCGAAGAGGTTGGTGGGTGTATGAAAAATTACGGTCAGTTTTATTTAATCTTTCTATTTTGTTGGTTCATTAGCTTTTTAAATTCGAATTTTTAAAACAACAAAAATCAGTTAACGACATGAGACAGTCAATTTCAGCTCACTAAGCAATTTCTTACAGATGAATAATTTGATCGCTGACTGTGCTCGGAAAACAGCACAGCACTTGGAAGAAACAGCTGAAAAAGAGGGAGAACTAGACCTCAAACAGTGAGTGAACATCTTTATTTTCTTTCCTGAGTCTTCAGTCCTCGCGGTAGGAAACATGGTATATATTCGTTCTGAAGAATAAACAAAATTAAAAAGGTAAATATGTTGAATTAACCTGAGACTGGGCTAGAGAGGAAATACCAAAACATAGAAGAGACAGAAAATACGCCGGACGACGTCTCAAACTCAGCTAACTCGTTTATTTAGTACGCTTCCTTATATAGACTCAATCTCAAGGTCACCTCCACCAACAGAGAAGGACGAAGTCTATACAGTTCAAGCGCCACAGTCTCCATCACACAATGCAAGAATGTGGACAACCTTACGGGTCGGCGCGTAAAATGCTGCGTCAAAATTTGAATGAATCAGAGTTCAAAAGGAGATCTGAATATTATGATATAATAGCTTTCGTTCACTTTTGTCCACTTATTTTCGCAGGTTTTACGGAAACTACGCTCTGGATGTGATAGCAGGGTGCGCATTCGGCACCCGACTGGACTCGCACACCGAGGAGACCAACGAATTTGTCGCCAAAGCCAGGCAGGCCTTTTCAGGAAAAATAACACCGCGACTCGTCTTTTTCTGTGAGTAGCGCAATACATTTCTACTGCGCCAGTGAGCGTCAATTAGAAACAGCATTTTATAGAGTTTTTGATGCTTTGAGTTGAGATATCTCGGGTTTCGAGATTTGAGGCACTTGTGAAAGAGGAAATTCTCCGAGTGAATTGTTTAGCTTCATGCCATACGGTGTAAGAGATACAACTTTCGAAAGAGGAACGCGAGATTTTAAAATAACGAGAGTGGTCCACTGGCTGTACATGCGGTGTAAACGAAGTTGAGCGCGCGCTTTGGTTCACGCTGAGTAACGGTTCCTCTGAAAGTCTTCAAAGGACGAAACATAGCCCACAGAAAGGCCGCCATGTCTAATTCGGTAACGACGGAGCAGAAGTACGTAACGGATGCTGGCGTAATCGCATTGGGGAGTGAACTCGTTCACAAAACCCTTACCTTCATCAAGATTGAGAACCTCGCGAGAATTAGTTGCTAACGTCGTATACATCGCCACATTAACGCTGGGTTCCTTGAAGAATAAAAAGGACACAGGTAGCACTCGGGGTTGCACCTTAAAATAACCGTCTCAAACCATTAAGAACAAATTTGCTGGCAGTGGTAGTCAGAATTTTAAACCGTCGACGTGCATCAATGTTCAAGTTGACCATGGGAGAGATGTTGACAGCCATCGTCGGTGGTATTTTGACGTAATGTTATTATTTATAAAGGTATTTTACTTTTACTGTCCCGATCTGACGTCACAAGTTGCCTTTTTATCTTATCTGCGTGTCACGAATCTCAATCTTGATACTTCAAAATATGTCTGCCCTGTGTATAATACGTTCCTTGATTCACGTGTGTTTCAGTTTTGTTACCGGGACTTGCCAAACTTTTGAAAATGAAGGCATTCAACAGCGATATCTTTCTTTACTTCAAGAACCTCAGTCTCCAGATTATTGAGAATCGAAAGAAATCTCAAAGTGTAAGCATAAGCTCGAGTTTCAGTTTTATTAATTTTACGTTTTAGGATAAGGCTGCACAGGGAATACGCAGGTACGCTGGGGATGATATTCCACCCAGTTCATGTTTCACTTGGGTGTTTCCACGTCAGATCAAACCATGATTGTCCGAGTCATATGTTTTGAATTTATTTTTAAAAATATATGTGAGAGCCATGTTCTTGGGAGGAGCATTGAGCCATGTGTGAACGCCGTAGATGAAGTTATTCCGGAGATAAAATATTTCGAAGCTCGACGCGTGGAGATTGCCAAGGTTTCACTGTGGTACTTTGCTCAGTCATGCTGTCCCTAGCTTACCTCTATATTCGTGATTCCTTGCGTTGCGTACCACTAAGACCCCTCTACCCCCTTCCCCCTCCCCTTCCCGGGCCATTTGCTGACGAATGAATACGTATATCTTTTCCATAAATATAACAAATATGACCCGAATTATCATTGTGTGCCCTAACATGCAGAAATCTACTCCCAAGAATCCAGTTTACACATATAATTTTACATTAATAGGAAAAAATATGACCGGGACCATCATTATGTGATCTAACGTGGAATAGTCTATAAGAAAATACATTCACGCCTCGTTAATATGGATATATGAACACTATTTTAGAGACAAACTGGGAAAATACATGCATTGTTGTCTCGTTATTACGGAGAACTTACATTAACGGTAGTGTCCATATGAACGAGAACGGTGGTGTCAATATTAACGAAACATCGCTGTATAGGGATTATTTCTGATTGGTTACGTCTGTCTGATAACATTTTGGCCAACTTTGCTTTTTTTTAGCGGCAGGAGGATTTCTTGCAGCTCATGATGGATGCCCGAGGCGGTAGCATTGCAGCCACAGATGAAATATCAACATCGATTGACGAGAAACTTTTTAACCTCGACTCGGAGATGAAGACGGACACTTCCTTCGTTGGAGGAGTTAAAGGTATGTGTACATCCCTTGTTTCACGAGACAAGTTGCTCAACACCATGAAGCGATGACATCATTTGATATCTCGGGACATTTTCGTTTGTCCTATCTTTTTGGGGGATGTTTTAATATCTGCCTTGTTTTACCACTGACCTTGCTCCTTTTTGCCCTTCCCATTTCATCACTTTTTTTTTTAACTTTTCTGGCTCTAGTTCTGTTTTTATTTCTCCTTTTTTTTCCCCCGTGACAGTAGTCTTCTCATAACTTTTTTTCCAGTAAACTGTTGCCTTTCTTTATATTTTTAAGGGCGAAGCTCCTTAGGGGCTAGCCATGTCCGTATGTCCGTCCGATGTCCGGCGTCGGGTGCTCGTGCTTACGTGCTCGTGTAGGGAAAAAAAAAGAAAATCGCATCTCCACGTGGTGAATGATGTTGATCGGGTCGAAGCACTGGTGGTGCTTGTCTGCGTAGACGGTGAGCCGCAGCATGCCGAGCCTTTCGTTTGTTTTCATCCATGTCAGAAAGAGAACGTGTGGTATGGAACTTGGTTATATACGCATTTGAGCATTTGACCGCAGCGTGACATGGATGAAAACGAACGAAAGGCTCGACATGCTGCGGCCCAGCGTTTAAGCAGACAAGCACCACCAGAGCTTCGCCCCAATCAACATCATTCACCACGTGGAGATGCGGTTGTTGTTGTTGTTTTTTTTTGCAATTTTTTTTATGCTGCAAAAAGGCAGGTTTTTTTTGTCTCTTGCTCTAGTATATTTCCCTTCACCCTACTTAGTGTCTCTCACTACCATTAGAACACAAGCGTTGCACTGAAGGCTGCATGCTGTGGAACAACGCCTGGTCGCTCCATTCCCACACGCTGATACGTAGCTACACCAGCTCTGCTCACCATAGGATGTTCCTTTATCATGTTTTAGGGAGAACTGTAAGAAACGAAATCATCTATCAAAAACTAGAAAGACCTGCAATTATTTTATCAGTGTTGCGAAGTATTTTGAAGTAACAATATGAACATTATTTTTATTTGCTCATTTTTATTGTTCTCGATTTGTTGTAGCCTTAACTGAAGACGAGGCCATGGCGCAGTGCGTTCTCTTCTTTCTTGCTGGTCAAGACACGACGTCGTCTGTCATCTCATTCACACTTTACCTTCTTGCGATACATCCTGAAATTCAAGCAAAGCTGAGAGAAGAAGTGGATGATTGCTTCAAGAAACATGTAAGACGTCTGATGCATTTACAAAACAAGGAGTCAAAGAGACATGTTTGACGCGTCTTTGTTTCTTTAGTGTTATAATCATTATCTAGTCAATCACTTAGTGGCTTATGTTGCTGCTGAATGTTCCAGGTTGTCCTTGGTGTTTCAAGGTTTGCTGACACCATGTAGCGTGCCTTCGATTAATCCTCTAGCATGACAGACTGAACGAACCATCCATCACCAAATTATGCTTCTACAATTTGTGGTAGCTTCATCACTACCATAGGAGATATTTCCTACACATAAGTCCCGTTTCTGCTACAAAAGTACACTGAATAAAGCTAATAAATTCATTAAGGGAAAATTTCTCTTCTGAAACGATGGTGCCTGCACGAAGCGGAATCTTCACATGATTACTATTATCCAGAAGAACTTATACTGAGGACTAGTCTCCAAAGTCCTAAAGGTGTTTCATTTTTACTTCAATTTCACTTTATTACTTCTTCGAGAATAAAGAAACGGCCAATACTATTGGTATATGTTCTGGATTTACTCAGAATTACTAGCTTTTTTATATAATCAGTTGTTTGTGCATGGCGAAGAAAAATAAATCAGCTTCGTGAAGCAAGTTGCCCGTCATGTCAGATAAATATAAAGGCGTAAATGAATAGAATTAATCGCAATAAATTAATTTAAAGGAGTAAATTAATATATAAACACATGGAATTATGTTGTATTATTTATTTATATATAATAAAGCAAAACAAAAACACATCACACCTTTATTTATTATGGTAAAGCAAAACTATATAACTATTTCTTTAATGAAATCTCTAATCAAAATGAATTGATATGCATCGCACGATAAATATTGTGTTAATAAAGCTGACAAATTTGTTCCTTTTTGGCCAATAATATGTCCAATTATTAGATAAAATATTAATATTTAAGGGCAGATATCAAGGAAAGTTGCAAATTTGCTCTGATACTTTCTTATTAATCTTTACCATGAAGGGACCAGAACCAAGCCTGGATGTAGTATCAAAACTGAGATACCTTCATGGGGTCGTGTCAGAATCACTGAGGATGTTCCCCCCCGCAACAAGGTAGGCGGAGGTTCATTATTCTCCATTCAGAATTGCTTGTTCAATACATACTAAAATATGCGTTTGTCGTTTCTTGCATAAATTTCTGTCTCATTATTTCTTTTCTTTAGGTTAGAGCGATCTGCTCTCAGTGATTATGTTCTGGGTGACACCGGAATCAAAGTTCCCAAAGGATGCGTGGTTGCCGTGCCCGTCTATTCAATGCATTATGACCCAGATAACTTTCCCGATCCAACCACGTTTGACCCAGAAAGGTATGTCTAAACTTTTATTATAATAGTTTTGCAAATATTTTCTAACGTACCTTGAGGTAGGTTGCAAAATTCATCATCTCATTCTATCGGAGAAAACATTATATCGTGTTATTTACTGGATTTATCGTATTACCGTTTTCTGATAAGCGTGTACTGATTGAAGTACAGTAGAACAGCAACTTTCGGCGATTACTTCTCTAGCCAAGAGGCAATTGGTTGAACACATTAGGACGTATTCATTTTTACGCTTTCCTAACAGGTTCAGTGATGAGAACATCGATAGTATTCGGCCGTACACATACCTTCCTTTTGGAGCGGGACCTCGGAACTGCATCGGCATGAGGTTTGCTCTCGAGGCGGTCAAGCTATCTATCCTCCACTCCCTACACAGCGTTGAATTCGTTCGTACCAAAAACACAAAGGTAAGCGTGAATTCCTGCCTCTTTATATTTTATCACCCACGGAAAAAAAAAAATCTATAGGGGCTGTCTTTAGTCTTTACGGATTTGTTTGAAAAACAAAACAATGAAAGATACAATAATGCAGTCTGTGCTGGTGAGTTATACTACCAGGAGGACATCATATATCGGTATAATCGACACGATTAGCTGTATAATTATCTACGACGTTTTAAATTACTTTTTTTAATTTGTGAAAAATATAGTTTCAATTAGAAATTTCCTGAGCGTCATCGCAAACCACTATATAAGTAAATTAAAAAAAAAAAAGATCTGGAGCACGTGGAAAGCGCGGTATTACGCTAAATGTATCACTCGTGTAATGGTCGGAATGCTGGTGGTGCGAAAAAAACGGATAATAAAAGACAAAAACCCTCGCGGGCGCGTTTTCAGACCATTTGCTTTGTGCCTGTTGCAAGAGAGAGAAATTTAACTCACCACGCGTCACAAATCTTTCTAAAGTTTACATATTTGTTTTGATATCGATTACGCTCAGCAAATTTCTGATTGGAACGATATCTTTGTCTTCAATAACTAAAAGTTAATTAAAAATGTGTTATTATTTAACAAATTTATTGCGACGATTATCACCCTATATAATGTCCCGCCCCCCGGGCCTTGTAACGCACTTGCTCAGAACCCTCTATTAAAGCTTTTCCCGCTTTTTAGAACAAACCTGTAGAACCCCCCCCCCCCCCCCCTATAATAAAAACAGAAAAGTGTATTTGCATACGTATATTTTATTTGCAGGTTCCGCTTGACTTTGTCATAGGGTTTGGAGTTCTGAACGCCAAGCACATCACAGTCGGCATAAGGAAGAGGACTGCGTGAAACATCTCGACCTCCGTTCCGTGTTCCAGTCAATTTGTGGATTTCTCAATGGACCAGAAAATTGCATGAATGTTTCCAAATTCAAGGTTTCCTTCATTGGAGTCATATTTCAATAGGAATGCAAGCGCCAAGTGTAGCGCGCCTACGGTGAATAAAGTAATTTAATATTGAATAAATCATGAACTTGAGTGTGACACCGCTGCGCATTAATTTAGGTGATGTCAAGTGAATGAAAGTAAACAGTCAAAATGCCCGGGGCAATGAAAAAAATATTATTTTTGAATTCATAGCGCAAAAAGACACCACCAACGGTCACTAGAACGCGAAAAGTAACCCATGACAAATAAAAAAAAAAAAATCAGCCCAGGTAGAACATGAACTAAGGCCCACGCAGTATTGTAGGCGTTACCGACAAAAAAAGTAACAAAATACGTTACTCGTTATTTGCAAATAAAAGAAACGCGTTACTGTCCTACGTTACCTCAATATAAAAGGAACGCGTTAGCGGTACCGTTACCGTTTAAAAGTAAAACACGTTATTTTGACTTTACTTCTTTTAATTATGAACTGACATGTTATACTTTTTTGACAGTACACGAATGCATAACCGCCATATTTCAAGAAACGTTATGAACATCCAGATACTGAATACTCGTGAGAAAAAAACGCAAATAAAAATGCTAAATCACTAAACATTTCTATAGCCTGACGCCTAAAAACACGAAAAAAAAAGTAGAAATGTATTTTGTAAGTCTTCAGAATATGTAACGAGTAATAGGACTACGCTACACGTTACTCGAAATGAGTAACGTAAGTACGGTACCCGTTACGGTATTGAAAATGTAGCGAGTACTTTACTACATTACGGGAGAAAGTAACGCTTTACTGCTAACACTGGACCCTTGCAGGTGAGCGAAAGGGGTGGTGCGGTGCCTATAATACCCGCTTGGGTCCCTCTAAGGTGCAACGTGGGCACGCCCGATTCGGACATGCCCATGCCATACCCCCGTGGGTTCCACCTAGGCTATGCGAGGGCAAAGGTTGTGTAGATGTGGGCAAAGCGAGGGCGCACACACTTGTGCCGCCGACGCGAAACCCATGAACCCCACAATGGGTACACGAGGGCATGCCCAACTTGGGCCGCTCGTGCAATGACGCCGTGGGACCCACCTCGGCTGCGCAACGACAAAGTTAAGCGCGAAACTCATGTATGACGAAACCGTCCGATCCGACATCCGATCAGGCAATACGACGGTCGGAGGCGAGGGTTTTCAACGCTCTCCGGTGCTACGAAAACCCCCTCCCCCAAGGTCATTCCGGCAGTTGGACTTAGCAAGGATGATGACAAACCTGACTGCCTGGTCACCCGGCTACATAGGACTGGGTGTTCGGTTGTGCAGCTGGTCTGTGGTCTGTGAAGTTGTCCGCCATCTCCGTGGGGTTGTCATAATCGTCTGTTGAGGAGTCAGTGGTGATTGTGAAGCCAGACTGGGATAGCTCTTCCAGTTTAATTTGAATGCTGCACTAACGTAGTTACTCACGTTTGGTCTTCGGATAGCGGAAGAAGGATTTTCCACCACATTGCAAAAACTTGTTTTTGCATTAAGTACAAAACGAGCGTGTTGGTAACAGTAATTAAGCATGAGGAAGATACATAGAAAGGGAGCACGGACAACGAAGACTTCCTTCTGGAAGTCTTCGTTGTCCGCCCCCCCCCCCCCCTTTCTATGTATCTTCCTCATTTTTAATTATTGTGTTTGCAGTGGTAGGCAGGACATGGCATGCCTGCCATCTCCAAGTATGCGCTGGTGTATGCCCGAAGCCGGCCAATTCATCAGCAAACGATGACCCAAACCAGACGTGCAAGCGTACACAAACAAAAATCGGAATAGAAATGTGTAATGAGCTTGCACTTTTTAATACATTAAATAAATACCAAAAAGCACATTTGAAGATTTCGGATTAGAAACCCAATCGACGGCGAAAATAATAGCTTATCGCAAACGACAATGAAAAAAAAAAAAAGTTGCAGACGGTTTTTAAAATGTTTAGGCACAGCGTGGCAGACGAAGCGACGGTAGTAAGCGCCGCCGAAGCAAAGGAAAGAGAGTAAAAACGAAGTTAAACACAGAGGTCGGCATTTTAGGTCGCCCTCACTCACCCTCACCCTCACAGCCACACTCACCTAAGCCCCTCACTCACCCTCACAGCTACACTCACGTTCAGCCCCTCACTCACCCTCACCCTCACAGTCACCTCACGGCCCTCACGCACTCACCGCCCTCACGGCCCTCACGCCCCTCACTCACTCATGGCCCTCACGCCACTCACCGCCCTCACGCCACTCACCACCCTCACGGCCCTCACCGCCCTCACTGCCCTCACGCACTCATAGCCCTCACCGTCCTCACGGTCCTCACCGCCCTCACGGCCCTCACGGCCCTCACGTACTCATAGCCCTCACGCCACTCACCGCCCTCACGGCCCTCACCGCCCTCACGGCCCTCACCGCCCTCACCGCCCTCACGGCCCTCACCGCCCTCACCGCCCTCACGGCCCTCACGCCACTCACCGACCTCACGCCACTCACCGCCCTCACGCCACTCACCGCCCTCACGCCACTCACCGCCCTCACGCCACTCACGTACTCATGGCCCTCACGCCACTCAGGCCAGCTTCAGATGGGGCAATTTCGGCCAGAAACTTTACGTCGCAACACCAGCAACAGGCGCCGCCCGCGATCACACACAGCAACCAATTGCTGCAATTTGCCATCGTCATCATAAAATTTGATTTTTCTTGCACTATTTAGACACAATTACGCGTTATAAACGTGTTTTTATGCATTTAAATCCCGTTAAGAATACTAATGCACCTTTCTGAAACAGTTTATTTCCATAAAACGATGGATTTTAAACAAGAACCAAGTCTTTCGGTGTCATCATCACCGGCACGAGGTATCACGTGAAAATTTTGCATCCCTGATTAGATGCAGCCGCTTCAAACGTATTCGAATTGCTCCGAGTTGCTTGCTTATTTCGAGCCGGACCCGATCTCTGCAATTCGTGTCGATCTAGGGAAAGCTAGAGAACAACCCGCCATTAACACCAAAATTGCTGAGAAAGATGCTCGATCTGAAGGGGGCCTCACGCACTCACCGCCCTCACGGCCCTCACACCACCTCATGCACTCACCGCCCTCACGCCTGTCATGCCACTCACTGCCCTCACGCCACTCATGGCCCTCACACCCCTCACGCACTCACCGCCCTCACACCACTAACGCACTCATGGCCCTCACGCCACTCACCGCCCTCACGCCCCTCACGCACTCATGGCCCTCACACCCCTTGCCGCCCTCACCGCCCTCATGGCCCTCACGGCCCTCACGGCCCTCACGGCCCTCACGGCCCTCACGGCCCTCACGGCCCTCACGGCCCTCACCGCCCTCACGGCCCTCACCGCCCTCACGGCCCTCACGGCCCTCACCGCCCTCACGGCCCTCACGGCCCTCACCGTCCTCACAGCCCTCACGGCCCTCACAGCCCTCACGGCCCTCACTCACCCTCACACTCATGAATTTTCCTGGTTCAGAAACTCACTCACCCTCACCCCACCTGTGGAGATGAGGGTGAGTGAGGGTGAGTGAGGGCCCTCATGAGTGAGGTTTGCCGAGGTATGGTTAAACAAGGCGCAGTAAAATACGCGATGGTTTGAACGTCCAGTAAACAGAAGTAAAAAATAAACATAAACGCAGGACGTGGAAAGAATGCGGCGTCGTAGCGCCGCCTCATACATAAAAAGAAAGTAGACTTTGAAAAATGGAAGGAGCTGAAAGACGGTTCAACGGGTGCCGGCCTTTACGTAGAAGACAACGAAGACGTTAGTCGTCCCGACACTAACAATCGTAATTTCTGCCCCGTATATAACGTGACCGAAATCACCTTTACTTGCACTACGACGCTCTCTTTTTTTTTTTTTTTTCTTGTACGCGATAGAAGTCTGCTCTTTTTTGTAACTCCCCTTTTATTAATTTCAGTAATAGCGTCAGATTTCCATGTGCACAATCGACTTGTTCCAGATCCTACTGACATCGCAGTGACGTACGTGGTACGAAATTGCCTTTTGCTTCATCTGGAGAAGAATTTCACGGGATTAGCCGACTCGCCTATTCGACCAAACGGTTATAACAAGACATTCGTGAGAAATGGGAATTGCAACAACAACGGATTGATTGATCAGAACAGTAAAGTTGAAACGTATCTATGTTCTAAAAGTTTTGCACATTGGCCTTTTCCCAAAAAAAAAAAACAGTGCGAAGGTACACCCGCCGGCAATATGACGGTGAACACCTTACGTGGTTTCCTGCCTGCTTTACGGCTCCCTAAAGCTATATTAACTCTCAACGTCTCAATTGGTACGTGTTTTGGGGTCTGAACTTTGCGTTCTAGCCCTCTTCTGGAACGAAGCTTGTTCCAAAACTTGCAGGAGCGTCAAAAACAAGAAAAGGGCTGTTCACCTTCATGTCGCTCACGGGTGTACATTCGTGTTTTGTCTGACTTACATAACTTCTGACAGAGTGTTTTCTTCGGGAGAGTCCGAAAATTACACCCTGAAAGCTCTAACATCTTTCACACGCAAAGAAAATGTCCGTCACTCATAAGGTGGCACCTATTTTCAAAGATTCAAAGCGGCGAATACCCGAGACATTTTTTTCCCCCATTGGTCACTTTGAACGGAGATAGGCAAAACCAATGCGTTGTGAAGAATTCGACTGCCAGCGGAGACTCCGAGGTCGACAGCGGCGCTGCGATCACTTTTCGCCCGCGCTCTGCGGGAGTTGCCAGCATTCGCTTAGATGGTATTAATGCGAGAGCATTAACAGTCTCATGGAGCGAGCTGACGTCATCAGTCTGAAGCGCGAAAACGGCAGATAGTTTCCTTCGGTTCCATTGGCTAACGCGCGTCGACGGAGCTCCCATTGGCCGCTGCGCTCGTCAGTTTCCACTACCGCTCACCCCATGGCGCTGATGGACACCCAGCGCCATGGGGTGAGCGCCATGGGGTGAGATCTAGGGAAGGATAAAAAAAAACAAAAAACATATAAAAATAGGCAATAAATTCAATTTAAAAGAGAGGGGGAACTGTTATAACAAAATACATACAAAAAAAAAATA